TTCTTACCCAATTTTCCAAGCTAAACACGAATCTGAACTCAATTCCTGTGATTTCTAAAGATATAATATCACTGTGAGAGTAGAGTCAGTGGTCACCGGATAGGGTCGCATACAGTATGGTCCATGCTAACTTAGCACGTCTGTATTTTCTCCTTGCAATTTATGGATAAAAAACACAGTGAATATACCTTTTCACTTTTTGAAGTACACATAACACTCGGATTTAAATCCGAGGTTTTCGCATTTTTTCTTCTTTACAAAAAATACAATTTTACTAAAAAGTCTTTACTTTTTATTTCTAGTCTTCAGAATTACGTTATCAATGTCGTGCATATCGTTCAACAAATTCATCCTTTCAAATCGAGTAAATATATTATATTAAAGATCTTTTCATTTTTCAAATATTAATAATTTTTCTTTTCCCATTGATCTAGTACATCAGATATATTTTTTACATGTCAATTATTATGTTCAAATGGTAGTCATATTATATGTCAATGTCCATTTTATAATCCTTTTATGCATTATGTATTACAAGTTGATGTAATATCATTTTATTGATTGAATTGATTATATGAAATTTTTCATATTTACTTTCTTTTTTTTTTCCTATGTAGACTTCAATATCTGAAGATAATTTTGAATTATTAATGATTGATAATGATTTAAAAGACGAATGTTTAATCGATTCATTCAATAGATCAATTCAACAATCAATAAACAAAATTGATTATTATTTAAAAAAATTTTCATCATTTCAACAAAAGAAACTTTTATCTAAAGTTCGAATAAACATCTAGAGAGAAAATTTCATTTGTTTTTGTTTTTGTAGAAATTGATTTCATTTATTGACACATTAATTGATAATGAAGATGAATGGTTAAATAAGAATTATTATTTGAAATGGAATATAGCTATGCGATTTATTCAACAATTACAATTTATTGGTTTACAATTAATTGATTTAACTAATTCATTTATTTCAATTCATCAACATATTGGTAAATTTTCGAATAATACACACAAATAAAAACGATAATGATAATTAATTTTTATTTTTAGAATTTTTTATTAATTCTCAAGAATATGAAAATAAAAATCGATCAATAATAATTTCGATTGATAGCAAAATGAATAATTCAACATTTTTTATTATTTCAAAATTACATGACTATTTAAATATAAATCAATCATCAAATAAATTAAATAGTCATATTGTTAATTTAAATATTAAACAAAAAAATATAAAAAATATCCAAATCATATTTCGACATTTAGTAAGTGGAAAAAAAAATTGATAGAAAATTAAAAAAAAAACAAACATAAAATTTATTTTTAAAATAGAATCTATTGAATAATTCTAATCAAATATCAACTTGTGTTTATTTGAAAAGCATTGAAAAGTAAGCGAACAAAAAAAAAAGCTGACTATAAGTTTCATGACGAATTTTGACTCCGGAATGAGACTTATAAAAANTTGAGATTTCGACGGAAAGGACGACCTTCGCCGCAATTACGGTAGAATGCAATGAAAGTGACGCTCTTTATCCAGATCTGAATAGTCTAAGTTCAAGAAAATCGGCGTCATTACGTCACTGTTGTCCCTAAGCTCGTAATACGGTAAAAATCAATACATCAATATGCCGTTTCGAATGACCGCTCTGAGAATTCACAATGAATTTTGATAATGCATTGATTATTAATGAGAAAAAGGCTTCATTTACAAACCTAAATATATCCTATTCTGGAGTCAAAAGCTTGTAGTGGACTTTATATAAAAGGAAGATTGAGTATATATATATATATATATATATTAGTACAAGTAATATTCAATGGAGTACAGATGGATGTTATTTATTATCATCGAATATAACTCATTCAATATGTTCATGTAATCATTTATCGACATTTGCTGTTCTCATGGATGTTCAACATATATTTGAAAAGGTTGGTTTGATTTAAAAGATAATGAGAAATTTAGTTTACAGAAATTTTTCGGTTTTAGTCAATGACAAACATACATATTGATCGATTATCAGTTATATCAAAAATTGGATGTGTAACATCGATTATTTCTTTATTATTGACGATAATTATATTGATAATGAGGTAATTATAAAACTTAATTTTCTTTTTGGAAAATTATGATTATCTGAATTGAAAATTACGTTTCGCTGAGGTATAGAGTGAAATATCTACTCTGTAATTAGAATATTAAATCTGCCAACATATATGAACAATATTTTATTTTTACTTTGCTTAATGACTAATTCTATAATATTTATTTTCGTTAGACGTCGTATGGATATCGATGATGATCTAATGATTGTTCGTAATATTCTACATATAAATATGTCAATTTGTTTATTAATTGCTCAATTATTATATATATTTGGTATAAATGAAATAAAATATAAAGTAAAAATTCTATTCCTTAAAATAGATTATTTATTTTATTTTCCGTTTAGTTTGGTTGTCGAACAATAGCTATTTTACTATATTATTTTCTTCTTGCAACATTTTCATGGATGTTTGTTGATGGAATTGAATTAATAATTGCATTAAAACATACTTTAAAAATCGATCGTATTAGAATATTTGCTTATTCATTATATGCATATGGATTTCCATTACTTATTGTTATTCTTTCTGTTGTACTTTCAACTCATGAACATTATTCTAATAAACAGTATGTATGATTTGAGTTTTGTCTTTTTTTTTAATGAAATTCGAGATTAACAGATATTTCATTTTCAATTCAATAATCAGATAGAAAAATATTTTTTTTTTTATGACCAGCTATGATTTTGTGAGTAATCCAGGAGGTAACAAGTGTTCTGGAATCTTGAAAAATTTTCGCTTTTTGTTTTTGTAAAGCGAACTTCTACCGTTTAATTGTTTTCGTTATTTACCAATTTTCTAAAAAAAATTGAACTTTCCCCAATCCTGGCGATCTTGAAACATCTCTGAATTTATCAAGTTTTTTTGTTATACGTCATTTGCTAACACACAGTTATATTTCTTCGATACCGAGACATACAATAATGAAAACAGTAGGTGTTCAAATTTTTTCTGTTAACCTCGGCGACAAACGTGACAGAGAAAAAAACTCATATACTTCTTTNTCGACGCTTCTTTGTTGTACTGAACATAGGGTGTTTGTTGACCGTACTGACCACTCATATGTGCATTAATAGTTTTGATAATCTCAGCGGTAGTGATATTCTGTGGCAGATCTTCGATAAAACTGCAATCAGCTCTTAGGTAAACATTAGCAAATTGTCCATTGACTTTAAAGACATCGACTGCTCGTACCGTGAGAACTTCTTCGAGAGAGCGAGATATTATTTTGAATATGTTCGAAAATAGTACAGAAATTTGTTCACATGTTGGTGACTGAGACGATTTACTTAGTTGTGCCCAACGGCGAGCAACTTCGGTCACGGTTTCGGTTTCTTGCTTTTTTTGATCAAAAACTAAATAGGAAATGAGTTCAAGTTGTTCAACGAACGAAATAATGATATTTTTTTCAGGATCAAGAATGGTTGATCGAACTGTATTGAGAAGAGCATGTTTGTCAGTGCTATTGGACACAAATACAATGCCGACACCGATGCTGGAATGACATTTGACCTTGACAACTTTAATATGGTGATTGCTATTGAGACGTTCATCGATCATTCGTTCCAATTTCGTATCGACCACATCATTGGGTAGATCAGGAATGTAGACAAATGCTTCATGTTTGGGTATGGATGCATATTTGTTTGATTTAAGCACAGTATCTTCAACGTAGGGTAGTCCAGTGTCTGTTGTTGGTGACTCTCGAGCAGTCGATGGGTGCAGATGCGAATCACGCTGCGGAGTATCCGGACAAACTACTGGTTTTGCAAAGTCTGAACGCATTCCTTGGCGGCACTGTTCGGGTCGTGTACCTTCATGACAAATTGTACAACGCTTGTCATCATCAGTATTGTGAAACGTACACACTTGGCATTCCCATTCGGTAGATAACTGATCTGGTAAGTGCTGTGCTCGCTGTGCCGATTGGTGAGAGGTAACGTCGATTCTTGAGGATGACGATGACGGCACACGGGATTCCAGAGAAGCAGCTGCAGCTGCATATGGAGGTTCAGATATTGATGAAACAGTGGCATAAGATTGTAGCAGTTGATCATTGGACGCGTCACCATGATAGCTTGAATTAGGTACTGGTTGACTTTTAATAGATGCCGACTGGGCACGAGGCGTGTCACATGCATTGCATACGGTTGCATAAGGTGGATTAGTCAAAGTACATATTTCACATGCCCAGCTGGTAAGTGAAGAGTTTCTGTGTCCGTCGTGCATTGCGACCGATGCTACACTTTTTTGTTTTTTAAACTAAAGAAACAAAATGAGCACGACTTGGCTATCTCTTGCTTAGTGGAACCGTGGTAAATAAAAAGTGATAGAATGACTCTTTATAAATCTAAGTCCTTTGTGCAAGTGCTATCGCTTATTAAGACTTACTTTAAGTGAGCATTCTTTTGATCGTTACTATCCCGATAGCTTGCCCATACATAGTACTTTGAAGTGATGATAAAGATTTTTTCCGTACCTTGTCGGAATTAATGCATACTTTTTTTTGACTGCAAATCTCATAAAATCATTTTGTTGAAAATCAGAAGTTCACTATTTTTAGAGCTTATCTGAATTGACGGAAATCACGACTTACGTCATCTTGCGCTCTCTGCTCTTCCGATATCGATTTTGGGTCGCCAAAGATTGAGACGAGCAAAGCCATGGTGTCTTGGCATAGTGGGCATCGTTGATTATTTGCTTCCACGCTTGATTTTAAACATTGAAGATGAAACGTATGCTGGCAGTTTGTTGTCACCCAAACCTCTCT